TGCGAAAATAAACTAATATCCAGCAAAACTTTCGTCCTTACTTAAATTATAATATAAAAATACAATGTATATTCTAAAGATACATGTCCAGAAACTAGTACAAAAATACGTGCATCTTACTCTTTCATTCTTACTTAAATTACAATATAAAAATACAATGTATATTCTTAAGATACATGTCCAGAAACTAGTACAATCATACGTGCACCTTACTCTTTCATCCTTACTTAAATTACAATATAAAAATACAATATATATTCTAAAGATACATGTACAGAAACTAATATAATCAGTCTTACTTCTTCATGTACAATATTCTTATCTAGTAAATGCTTCTGGTTGTATTTGTCCTTGCTTGTAAAAGTTCCAAAACGCTGAAAACGCATTGTCGTAATTCCATGATAGTTCTACTAAATACCTCAGACTCCACTACAAATTCATTCCTGTCTGCTGACTTAGTGTCATCGTCATTAGTTGTTTTACATCTTCTGGTAATTGTACAGGTGATGTTTCTGTAATGCTAAGAGAAAACATCCGTTTTCTTAGATCAGCCATTTGTGCTTCGTGATCCGTCATTTCTACGTCTTGGCATGTCGTTTGTATTTTTAAATCTAAAATTTGTACTTCCAGTACTGCTGTATTTGCTGGATCAGTCTTTTGTATGTTTGGTTGATTATTCAGTTGCTTTAACTGTGTCTCTGTCGGCTGAGTAATATGTAATTGCTCATTTTTAATACAGCATCCATTTCCTTGAGAAATTATTGTGAAGGTCCGATTGAAGTAACGGATAGACTGTTCTGTGTTGTCAAGCTCTATAAACAGTCCTGTGACTGTAACCAATATCATTGCTTCCGTAATCAGACTGATGTCCATGGTAAGTGTGTTCAGGTAATGAGACGTTCGTGGCATTTCAGAGAAATATGCAATGATTGGCAAACGTCCCTGTTTTAGTAATTTTTGCCTTTTATCTGTGGAATATATTCTACACAAGTTTCTGTCGTCCGTAACATATCCATTCAACTTGTTTGGATTGCGAGGATTGTGAGAATCAAACACAGTCATACTGAAGCACGCATCTTTGGCATATGCGGTTAGAAGTGATACACGAGCGTCACTATCAAATATGAGAAAATATTGTTCTAAAAATTTGCTCGCAAATTGTTGCGCTTGTACATTTGCAGCAAACATCCTTTCAGAGGCTGGCATGTTATTTCCTTCGTCCACTGCGTCGCACAATATTGGTTTTGAAAGATTCATACCATCCAGTCTCAGTAATTCAGGGCACTGTTTTTGCACATCTTTAATATAGTCATTTTGGGATTGATACTTGTTGCATATCGGATTTCCAGTCAATATGAGCTCCTCCAAATTCAAATTTTTAATAGCGTTTAGTTCTTCGATGTCTTTTAGCGAATTATCTCCAATGTGCAGTATCTTTAGTTCTAATAATTTTGATTTGATCATACGTAATGTTAGATCAATGTCCAATATATTTCCATTCAAATTTATTGCCTTTAAGTCTGACATATGTTCTGATAGAACGTTAAACACAGTGTCTAAAACTGGAGGACACGACAGTGCACAAAAGTAGTCAGAAATGAGATCCGGATCTCTGTGAAACTTTGACATATCTATCATTTTTATCACTGGTACATATCGTTTCACCATGGCTTGTTTTACTCTTTCTTCAAATTCATCATCAATTATACACCGGGGAAATGCTGATGTTGTAACTCTGACTGTCAGTTGTTTTCCACGGTTAGTTATGATTTCACAATCGAGTAACGTAACTGCTACTTTTTTATCATCTACAAAAAAATTGGCTTCATTTCCTCTCTTTCTGTACTTTATCGGAACGATTGTTTCCGGTGCGACATAATTGTTTAGATTATTTATTATATAATCTTTCTTATATTTATGTCCGCCTGGTATAATAATTTTGTAGCAATTGGATTCACAAAGTTCGTTAAATATTTCGTTCGTTTTCTTCGACATTTTTTTCAACTTGCTCGATGAATTACCTTGAAACAGAAAAATGGAGTTACCTATTAATATACACTAATGCACATAAATTGACATTAACAACAATAAAACGTTAAAAACGATTAAGTAAATTTACCGAAAACACTTCAGCTCACTCTTTTTCGTATTTGGACCGTTTTTTAATATAATTTCAGTGCAGAATAGATTGCCTTGAACTGGAAAAATGGAGTCACCGATTAATATACACTATTACACGTAAACAACAATGTTAAAACGTTAAAAATGATTATTTAATCTTACCGAAAACACTTCAGCTCACTTTTTTCTGTATTTAGACCGTTGTTTAATATAATTTTTGTGAAAAATTCACGTTTTATCACACACGGAACTGTCACTTTCGCTTACTCTATTCAAGGAAAATGGCGGACATTCATCAGAGTAGACGGCGCTGATGTGTACTTAGGAAAATGGCGGACGTTCATCCGAATAGACGACGCTGACGTGTACTTAGGAAACTGGCGGGTTTTGATTGAGGGAAACAATTCAAAAAATGGAAAGAGAAAGTACATTGTTAAAAGAACGATCGTCTTTTTTCGTGGCTAGAGTCACGACTTAAATTATATCGAGTTTTCCATTTTTTATTTGTTTTATCCCTTCGATAAAAATAATATAATTATTATTATGTATGAATGCAATCTCTTTTTCAGAATATAATTCAATGCTAGTTGAAAGTGAAGAATAAAATTTTCCATTGTTTTCAAGAAGATAGACTTTGAATATTTAATTATTTAACAATATTTAGTAGCATGTACATTTTAACATACTTTATTATTGAACTGTGTTTAAAATTAAAGTTATAATTATAACATTTTTATTTCCCAGAAAAAGAGATGGTTTTGAACTATGTTGTTTATAAATTTAAATTATAAAAATAAATTCACTTTCTTCAGGAACGAAGCCTTTTATGAAAAATTTTTTATTCGATTTTTTTTAATATACTTTACATAGGACATTCATTCTATTTGTTCATTCTATTAGTAAAGTTTGTCAAATTTGCAAATTCAATTTCTTCGAAAACAATACCTAGTGTCGATTCTTTTTCTCGATTTTGTTCCTATAAATGGAATCACTTTCTGTATGTTCCAAGCACACGTTCTATGCATTATTGGACAATGTTATGACATCTTGCAAAATGACTGGTTCGAAAGTCACTATGTTTGTTCTAAACTATGGGAACTAAGATTGTCTAATTTTATTTACCATTTCCATAAATTAAACGATTATTTTAAAAAATTCTTAACTTATAAATAGTAATACAATTTCTTTTGAAGAAAATTATGAGACACTAGTACTGATTTGTCACAGAGGTTTGTATTTGCCTCTATTGGCTTACAAATTCTTTAATAGTAAAAAGTAAGTTTGTTAGTTCACGTTTCAAAATTTATCTACAAAAAGTATGTCATTTGACAGATCATTAATTTATGAAGAAGTACTATAAAGTTCATAATTAATAGTGGAAGATGCACATTTGAAAGAAATTTCATTCAATGTGAGAAATGTGTTATTAGAAATTTTTTACATAAATACTAAATCTACAGAAAAGCGAGGAAACGTAAACTCCCAATTTTATGAAAGTGGCAGGAGAATCTTGAAAAGTAAACCGAATTCGACCATTATACGTAGATAAATTTTATGCGAATGTAATTTAAATGCATCGGCGAAGATGGTAAAAAGAGTAAATCTGTGAGAAAAGAAAACAATTTGCTATTAAACTATCATTTACGACATTTGCGCTGATTGGAATTTGCCAAAAATTTAGTAATAATGTTGCTTGTAAAAATGTTGTCTGTTTCTTCTATGGCTTGTATACGGTTCTATTTTTTTCAGTGTAACAAATTTCCCAAGCAGAAGTGAAGAATCCCAACTTTGTTAGTTTCTCTTCAAATTTTCATATCAAATTTGTCCGGTTTTTCAGACATGTTGTTTATTGAATAATTGTACAGCTTGCTTTCATTGGAAAGAATTGTTCATGTACGAAATATTCCTCGTTTATAACAGTTTTGACCGATCTGAATGAATTTACTCGAAACTTCAAGAATCAAAGCGATTTTATCTGTTGGTCGTTGATTTCTATTGTCAAACCGAATAATC